TGACATAATATCCCTACCTGCAAATTGTTACTGTTCTTGAAAACTTGGGGAAGAAATGAGATGCAATGGCCCAGCCTCTTTTGCTGAGGTAGATCTATTTGAATTGTCTTTAAAGTTCCCATTAAAAGCTGACCTCCACCTTGAAGCTATCATTGATCTTCATTTGCTACCTTAACATACTTATAATAAACTTATATGCCTTTAGAGAACTTTAATTTCTTCTTCTGAAAACTACCTGTTCATATCCTTTTATCATGAGGGCAGTTAGGTGGTGCAGTGGATAGAGCACTGGTCCCAGATTCAGGAGGACCTGAGTAAAATCTGGCATTAGACACATAACACTTACTAGCTGTGTGACCCTGGGCAAGTCACTTAACCTCATTGCCTAGCCAAAGGCAAAAACAAACAAACATATCCTTTAACTACTTATCAATTAGAGAATGACCCATCTTCTTATAAATTTGACTCAGTTCTCTACATATGTGAGAAGTGTGGCCTTTATTAGTGAAACTTGCTGTAAATTCCCCCACCCACTAATTCTGTGCTTTCCTTGTAATCTTGGCTGCATTGGCTTTGTTTTTGCAAAACTTTTTACTTTTAATGTAATCAAAATTATAAATCTTACATCCCAAAATATTCTCTATCTCTTATTTGGTCATAAATTCTTCCCTTATCCATAGATTTGACAGGTAAAATTTTCCTTGCTCCCCTAACTGACTTATGATATCACCCTTTATGTCTAAATCATGAACCTATTTTGACCTTATCTCAGTCTGTGGTGTGCAATGTTGGTTTACACCTTCTTTCTGCCAACCTGTTTTCAAGTTTTCCCAGCAACTTTTGTCAAATAGTGAGTTTTTGTCTTAAAAGTTTGGATCTTTGCATTTATCAAACACAAGATTAATATGTTCTTTCCTGCTACATATTGTGTGTAATCTATCCCACTGATTTTTTCTACTCTTTTTCCAGCTTTCCATTTTTGCTCATCTGGGTTTAAATATTTACAGCATATTTGCAGCATAAAATGAATTTATAAGACTATTATAAATTTTTAATTTTTTCTTTCACTATGGTGTTTTTTTTCCTCTCCTTCTCCTGCCTGGGAGGGCCTCAGTGTCCTCCTCAGTCAGTGAGGGGTTTAGTCTAGATGACCTCTGAGGGCCTTTGGGGTTTTTGCTTTGTTCCAAAGTTTCATCCCACACCACCCTCCCAAGGGACCATGATCTGTTTGGCCATTCCCCACTCAGAAGGCAGTCAGCCTTTTGCCAGGTTACCCATCTTACAAATAAACACACATAAGGACACTAACGTGGTATGGTGTGACAGCCAGAGCACGTCATGGAGATGGAAGCGGTGGTTGGTGGGGTCTGGTGCGGTGGCAACGGAGTCCTCATACCGCTGGAGACAGCAAGGGAGGGTGAGAGCTCCATGGAGTCAGCTGCAGCAGCGCTGTCTTTCTCTGACCCAAAGAATGGTGGCAACTGAGCAGGCAGGCTCTAGGAGCTGCAGATAGATCACACCCTGAGGAGGCTGGAGTGCAGCCGCTGCAGCCGTCCACAGAAGGTCTGCTTATGTCCATTTCTGCCAGTACATCCTCTAAGTATCTCTACCAACCTGTATATGATTCAGCATCTGGGCAGAGGAAAACAAAGTATTATGGACAGTATCTCTGTTTGCTGCATGTCTTCCCCAGGACAAGGGTAAGGTCAAGATTGGTCGACACTTCAGTGAGGAAAGAGATCCTGAACTTTAAGCTCTTTGCAGAAATCCTGGCACTTTAATTTTGTATCCTGGTGCTGAAGTAATTAATTTGGAAGAATTGGTATCAAATTCTCCTAATCATCTTTCCACTATCATTGTCATTGATGGGACATGGATCCAGGCCGAAGACATTTTCTGCAAGAATTCTCTCTTCCAACCTCCTAGACAGGTGCAACTGAAAACCAGTGTTTCTAGTCAGAACTTTGAAGCACTAATGGTTTTAACCAACCTGGCAGGGATCAATGAGAGGCTTAGGTAAGATGAAGTCCCTATGTCTCTGGAACTCATAGCCAGCAAAGTGAATTGCCTCCTTTTTCAAGTAGGGTTTACTGGCTCTTACTTTTACTCTGTAGCCTACTTAAATTCTGTTTGATTGATGAGCCAGAGCTAACAGGAAATTTAACAGCTGCTCTCTGGACTTTAGTGGCTGATTGTGGGCCTCTGTTGGAACATGGTGGAGGCTTCAAGGGAAATCACAGTGAAACTAATGGAGACTGAAGTGTTAGAGATCCTCTCTGTGCTTGCCAAGGGTGAGCTGGACAGTCATGAGGGCAGCAACTGCCTCTCTTGCAAAGGCAGTGGAATATGGGATTGTCAAACCCAGCAAGGAGGACTGAAGAAGTTGGGCTCACTTCCATTGTCAGGGCTGGGGCCTAGTGCCCCTTCAGCCCTTGGTTCTTAACTTTCTGCATCATGCTTGATACACACAGTGCTTGTTGCTACACAAGGAACAAAAATATAGAAGCAGCTGTGCCTGGCTGGAAAGGCAACTATATTAGGTAGCAATTGAGAAAAGGGAGAAGGTGGCCCAGCTTCCTCCCCTGTCACAAGGCAGCTTTTTGGCTACCGTTTCATGTAGTATTTCACCCTCAGGGACCAATCAAATGTGGGCACCTGGGGAGGGGGCAAGTGGACCATCACCAGGCCTATGGATTCTCCAGCACCCTAAAAAGGATTCCAATACTATTCCTCTGTGAGCATCACCCACTTCCAACACTATAATAAAATGTGTGAAATCCTCCTAGTTTATAGAAGAAAAAAGGCTGCTGTATAGAAAAGGAAAGTATCCTGGTACCTGGAGCTGGACCGGAGGGATTCATGAGGAATTTTACCCTATAGGTAAAGGAATTTTTACATAAGAAAGTTAATAGATGGAAGTTATATAAAAGTGGCACAGTTTCTCCCTTCCCTCCTTGTCTATTTGTTGATATTTCATGCATGTTAAATATCAGGATAGGCCACTGGAAGGGACCAACAAACCCAACTAGCCTGACTGATTTTTCCTGAATTCATGCTTTCTGCCTAAGCTCCTGTGGTGCTTTCCATGTTCTGGATATGCATGATCTAGCTACTACTGCCATCATATCTATCCTGACCAAGGTACGAAAAAAATTGTTTTCCTTTTAATTCATCCAGGACAAGATTAGTGTTTTTTAGTGTAGTTGTTTAATTGTTACATTCATATTAGTTTTAAATCTCCTTTTCTATGAACTTCTGGAAGGCATTTATATTTTGTGCTTGTATTATTTTTTATTTGTACCCCTCAATTTTAGCAGACAGCATGTGATTAATCATTTGTAAAAAACAGCAACAAATCTTTAACATAGCTACTGCTTCTTCCTCTCATTTATGCACTGTCTTCTGTATCTCTAGTAATCTTTCTTCTGCCCCAATCATCTTAGTCAAAATGTTCTCTAAAAGGTCATCAAAGATATTTCTTCTCTTGCAGGTACTACAAATTAATTACTTAATCTCATTTTAATGAGTCGAAAAAACTTGTAGTGAAGTCCAGGAGGTATGAAGAAGTAAAAGTCAGAGGGGCACTGAAGATATCAAAGTTGGAAGCCTCTGATGATTTTTACTGTTGGAAAAGAAATAAAAAACAGATGAGGAAAGTGGGGAGGGAAGCACATTCTCAGAAGAGCCCAGAAATCTGGCAGGTTCGTGAAGTCTTCCTCCTTGGCCCACCCTTTCAGCACAGTCTCTAAGGGGCACGCAGAGGGAATGATGTCATGGAACATATCTTAGCTACCTACTCCAGCAAGAATCATGGTAAAACACTGCTTGGTACAGTAACAAAAAACTCAGATGCACATAGCTATGCCCCAGGACATACTGAGCTATATAAGAAAGTATAAAAACAATTCCCTGTGTCTAGAAGGCACTTCTTAGTGAAAAGCTAGTACCCGAGGAAGGCAATAAGAGTGGAAACACTGGCACTTTAAGCTTCTCTCACAAGGACAAGACACATTTATCATTCTATAAGTCTGAGAGTCCTGTCAGAACCTGCTGCCAAGATAATCTTAGGCTGAAGTACATGGGATGAGAGAAGTTGGAAGCAAAAGGCAAAGATCACCAGAGGAAGAAGCTAATAGCTATTTAACTAAACCATTATAACTAGAAAGAAACATGGTTTCTCAGGATGAGAGCTGTGAGGAATAGTAGCAGCTCTGCCACAGGGAATCCTGTTTTATGGGTGTGTCTGGCTTGAACCTGACCAAAAGAACAGGCTTGAAGAGAACCCTTTGCTTATCAGTCAAAAAATGAAAGGCCTAATGATAACAATGTGAAAAATGTTAGATTGAACTTCAAGGTTTCAGAAGATTTATGGATGGAAGGAGGCCCAGAGGTCATATAGTTATGCTCCTTCATTTATCATGCTACCTTGATGCCTATTCCAGTTTTTTTAATTTGGATTCTAATTTAGAGAGGCATACATCTGGGCCTGGAGTCAGGAATACCCAAGTTCAAATCTAGCCTTAGACATTAGCTGTGTGACCCTGGGCAAGTCACTTAAACTCAGTTTCCTCAATTGTAAAATGGGGATAATAACAACCCTTTCCTCCCAGGGTTAAGGATCAAATGAGATAATATTTGAAAAGTACCTAGCACATAATAGGCACTTAATAAATGCTTCTTTCCTTCTTTCCAAGTTGATAATGCAATCCTAAAAAATTCCTGCTTCAGTATACTCTAAAACCTTAGTGCAGTTAAAATAAGATAGATGGCTGAGCATTCACTGGGTAATCATGGTGGTTAGTAAGGTAGAGGTTCTTTGAGATTATCAGTACACAGGCAGGGACTTCTCTCACTTCCAACAGAGGGCAAGCAACAATTAGGTAAACTGTGCTGGGCTTTGATGGCATTCACTCAATCAACTTGTATTAAACTTGCCAAGCCAGCAAGCTGTCATTTTGGATATCATTCCTACTACCTTTTTCCAAACAATACTTCTCTGACTAGGAGTCAGATTTTTTAATGAGGTAAAGCTTTGTTATCTTGTAGTCTTTGCCTGATGAATTAGGTCCCAGTCCTTGCTTCTTGCAGGGTATTTTGGATCTGCTGCTATATGACATCTCTGCTCCTGCTTGCTGGTTCTTCTTTAGTTGCTATAGGAATAAGAATCATCAGTGATAAGCACAACATCAAAACAAAATGGAGGTGTGAAGGCAGAGCCCCAAAGCTGGTCTATAGCACACACAAAATGGAAGGCAAGGGATGGACATAAAGTATATGCTCTCACCATCCCTTCAATTTAGCTCACAGCTCTTCTCTTTCTTTGTTTTTACTTACTTGCTCCTGCTTTTCTTTCTCTTTCTTCAAATGAAACATCTCCCACTGTTCCATCATATATTCTATGAATTTCTGGCCATTCACCACAAAAGCCTTGGAATGTTCCTTTTCCCACATTTCAATCTGTGCTTTCAATTCCTCTTCCAGCTGAGGTCATTTAAAAAAAGGAAAGCTTACTATCAATAACTCGCTAACGTCCTATTAATCTTGCTGTTCTCAAAGGGTGACTTCTTCCATTCAGAGGTTGATTGTGCTATTTCAATATGTTTGTAACTCTAAGCAAAACATGAGAGCAAGACAGAGAATGTACATAAAATTCATTATCAGGGGAAAAAACCCCAGTTTATTTAGAAAACATGTGATGGAGCAAAGAGAAATAAACCACAAGCATTTCTTCTATTTTTTTTTTGTTTTGATGGCACCTGATGCTATGGCATTCAGCAAAACCCAAGTCTCAATGGTAGGAGCTTCATGAGAATCCTTATGCCTGAGGAAGCTCCATCCTGAGAACGTCCTTTGTGACTCACTGGCAACTCTAGTAAGGATAGACTTCTTGAGAGAGCTATCATGTAGCATTCTATCTGTTCAGAGAAATTAATATAGAAGGACTTGTTTCTTGGGCAGATAACTTTTTTAAAAAATTAATTAATTAATTAATTTTTAGTTTTCAACATTCCCTTCCATAAGAATATGATTTTGAGTTTTAAATTTTCTCCCCCTCCCACCCTGCCTCCCTCCCTAAGATGGTGTGTGGTCTACAGATACATTCCTATTAAACATATTTTCACATTAGTCATGTTGTATAGAAGAATTAGAACCAATGGGAGGAACCACAAGAAAGAAGAAACAAAACAAAACAAAAAAGAATGTAAATAATATGCTTCCATCTGCATTCACACTCCATAATTCTTTCTCTGGATTTGCATAATATTTTCCATCTTGAGTCTTTTGGAAATGTCTTAGATCCTTGCACTTCTAAGAAGAGGTAAGTCTATCAAAGTTAGTCATCACATAATGTGGCTGTTACTGTGTACAACGTTTTCCTGATTCTGCTCACTTCACTCAGCATCAGTTCATGTAAGTTTTTCCAGGTTTTTCTGAAGTCTACCTGCTCATCATTTCTTATGGAACATGAGTATTCCGTTACATTCATATACCACAACTTGTTCAGCCATTCCCCAGTAGATGATCATCCTCTCAGTTTCCAACTACTAACCACCACAGAAAGAGCTGCTATAAATATTTTTGGTACATGTGGTTCCTTTTCCCATTTGTATGATCTCTTTGGGATACAGACCAAGAAGTGGTATTGCTGGGTTAAAGATATACAGTTTTGTAGCCCTTTGGGCATAGTTCCAAATTGCTCTCCAGAATGGTTGGATCAGTTTATCACTCCACCAACAATGCATTAGTGTTCTAGTTTTCCCATATCCTCTCCAGCATTTATAATTTTCCTGTTTTGCCATGTTATCCAATCTAATAGGTGTGATACGGTACCTCAGAATTGTTTTGTTTTGCATTTATCTAATCAGTAGTGATTTAGAGCATTTCTTCCTCTGAAAACTGCCTGTTCACATCTGTTGACCACTTATCATTTGGGGAATGACTTGTATTCTTATAAATTTGACTCAGTTCACTACGTATTTTAGAAATGAGGTCTTTATCAGAGACACTGGTTGTAAAAACTGTTTTCCAGCTTTCTGATTCCCTACTAATTCTGGTTGCATTGGCTTTGTTTGTGCAAAAACTTTTCAATTTAATATAATCAAAATTATCCATTTTGCATTTCATAATGTTTTCTATCCCTTGTTTGGTCATAAATTCTTCCATTCTCCATAAATCTGACAGGTAAACTTCCTTGCTTTCCTAGTTTGCTTATAGTATCAGCCTTTATATCTAAATTGTGCACCCATTCTGACTTTATCCTGGTATAGGGTGTAAGATGTTGGTCTATGCCTAGTTTCTGCCATACTATTTTCCGGTTTTCCCAGAAGTTTTTGTCAAATCATGAGTTCTTATCCCAGAAGCTGGGGTCTTTGGGTTTATCAAACAGTAGATTACTGTAGTCGCTGTTGGACAGAAAACTTAAAGGATAGATTTTAAAAGGCATTTATTGTTTTTTCTTTTTTATCACCTTTATTCCTGAATGTATCTCTCTCATTCTTTCCTCCCCCAGAAGTCATCCCTCATCAGAAAGAACAAAATGGGTGGGGTGGGGAGGGGTGCAAAGCAATTCAAAAAAACTAATCAAGACATCAACCAGTTGGACAGTACCACACCTAAAAACCCCACCTCTACAAAGAAAAAGGATGTTAAGGGACATTTTCTTAACTCTTCTTCCAGGCCAAGTTTGGTCATTGTCATTAAGCAGCATCCAATCAGTGTGTGTTGTTTTCCTGATTCTGCTTTTATCAAAGATAGATTTTGAAATGAAGGACCTTGCATGTAAAACATGAAGAGCACTCCAAGCATTGCCTACCTTAGAGAGTGTTTTTTGGAGCTTGGCTTGGTGCTTTTCTTCTTTTAAGAGATTTCCACCATGGTTCAAAAATTGGCTTGGATCTGAAGCCAATATATTCTGTGGAGACAATATATTCTATTTATTTTTTAAAATTGATTTTATTCTGAACTTCAGAAATAAGACAAGCATTTCTGTAACATAGTAGAATAGAAAAAAAGATGACTGCACATGAAACTGCAAATCTATAATGTAAACTTGCTATTCCTTTAAAATATATATTAAAGCTATCATGTGACTTTTTTCTTTTTTTTTTCTTTCCTCCCCTCACCCCTTCAGCCCTAGAGGTGGCTATCATTAGAAACAACTAAGTATTTATATGTAAAATAATTCTATACATACTTCTATTTATCAGTTCCTTTTCTGGATGCAGATACCATCTTCCTTCACTGGTCATGTGTAGTTGATTTGGGTATTTATAAGAGTCAAAATAACTTACTAGCTCCAAGTTGTTCTTAAAGCAATATTGCTGTTAATGCATACAATGTTTTCTTGGTTCTGCTCAATTTGTGCTTCATTATTTCATGCAAGTCTATCCATGTTTTTCTAAGATCATGAAGCTCATCATTTCTTATAACAATATTATTCCACCACAATCATAAACCATAACTTCTTCAGCCAACCCCTAATTAATATGCATCCCAATAATTTCCAGTTCTTTGCCATCACAAAGAGAGCTGCTATAAAATATTTTAGAACATATAGGTTCTTTTCCTTTTTCTCTAATTATCTTTGGAAATAGACCTAGTAATGGTATTGCTGGGTCAAAGGATATAGGCAGTTTAATTACTCTTTGGGCATAATTCCAGATTGGTCTCCAAAACGGTTAGATCAGTCCACAGTTACACCAACAATGAATTAGTGTCCCAATTTTTCCGTATCTCCTCCAACATTTGGCACTTTCCTCTTCAATTATTTTGGCCACTCTGGTAGGTGTAAAATGATATCTCAAGGTTGTTTTAATTTTCATTTCTCTAATCCATAATGATTCAGAACATTTTTTCGTATGACTATATATTATTTTGATTTCTTTATTGGAAAGCTCCCTGTTCATATCCTTTGACCATTTATCAAGTGGGGAATAACTTGTATTTTTATAGATTTGACAAAGTTCTGTATATATTTAAGATATGAGAACTTAATTTCAGAAACTATGTATAAAATTTCTGCTTTCCTTCTGATCTTGGCTACATTTGTTCTATTTGTACAAAACCTTTTTAACTTAATGTAACTGAAATTAACCATTTTACACCTCATACTGCTCTCTATCACTTGTTTATTCATAAATTGTTCACCTCTCCATAAGTCTGATTAGTAATATATTCCATGTTCTTCAAATTTTCTTGTAATATCTCTCTTTCTATCTAGGTCATGTATCCATTTTGACCTTATCTTGGGAAATGGTGTAAGATAATGGTCTATGCCCAATTTCTGCCAGACTGCTTTCCAGCTTTTTCAACAATTTTTTACTAAATAATGAATTCTTCTCTCAAAAACGTAAGTCTTTACACTTGTCAAACACAAGGTTATTACTAAAGTCATTTGCTGCTGTAAATGGAGACAATAAATTTTAATGAGAGCTACTATTTAAGCAATAAATCCAAACACAGAAGGAAGATTTAGTTCTTGGGAGTCCTTTAATTTCATAAAACCATACACTTCATGAGCCAGAAAGGTATTCCTTCCCTGCACTAACAACTAAGCTGCCAGAAAAGGAATCCAAAGTATTCCTAACCAGAAGTGATCTTTAAGTAGGTTCATGAGAAGTTAGCAAGACATGGCTTGTGGTAATGAGGATACTTAGGAGGCAAAACCAGCTTTCAGAAATCTCATTGCACCAAGGAGTGGGGTTTAAGCAATTGTGTTCAGGACAATTTATTACACTCTTCTTTTCTTGCCTTTCCCTCCCTCCCTCCCTCTAAAAAAAGTACCTCAAATTCCAAGAAAAGTTTCCAGTTCTTTCCCCACTTCTGAACACCTTCAAATAGCTCTTTGTGCAGGTCATAATAGTGTTTCAACTTCACAATTTCTTCATCGTGGAGCTTTAGCAAGATCTCTGTGTAGTTCTCTGTGTGAGGGAGACAAAGAAGCCAAATTTTAAAATTCCTCTAAAGTCTTGCTAGTCTTTCCTGTTTCCAGTATAGTGAAATGCCCCAAATTTCCAAGTATAATGAGTCACACTCTTCTCTGATCACAGCCTCTGAATAATTATAGCCTCACTTGATCCACTCCATCCCATCTTCTTCAGCAAATTGTCCCTTCTCTCATCCCTACTTTCTCTCCAATCTTTCTTTTCTCCCTGTCTACTATATGCTTCCCTGATGTCTACAAGCATGCTCGTATCTCCTCCACCCTTAAACTTTCACTTGATACATCTATCTCTGCTGACTATTAACCTATAGACCTCTCCTCTCTTTTGTAGCTAACCTCCTTAAGTAGGCTGTCTACAATCTGTGCCTTCACTTACTTTCCTCTTTCTCTTAGCTTTTTCCAGTCTGGCTTCTGACCTCATCATTCAATGCTCTCTAAAGTTATTTATGATCTCTTTATTTATTTGACTTTTGATATTTTCCCTATTATATGTAAAGCCAAAATTTTACCTTTACTTTTTATAATTTTGCGTTCCAAATTCTCTTCCACCCTCCCCTTCCTTTCGCCTTGCTAAGAAAGCAAGCAATTTGATAAATGTTATACATGAGTAGTCATGCAAAATATATCTCCATATTAGTCATGCTGTGAAAGAAAGTGCAGACAAAAAAAAAAGAAAAAGAAAGAAAGCTTAAAGAAATAGTATGCTTCCATCTGCATTGAGATTCCATCAGCTTTTTTCTCTGAAGGTGGATAGCATTTTTCAACATAGGTCTTTTAGAATTGTCTTGGATCACTGTATTGCTGAGAATAGCTAAGTAATTCATAGTTGATCATCATACAATATTGTTGTTACTATGTACAACATTATCCTGGTTCTGCCCACTTCACTTTGCATCAGTTCCTATAAGTCCAGGTTTTTCTGAAAGCATCTTTCTCATCATTTCTTACAGCACAATAGTATTCCATTACAATCATATGATTTCTTAATTGCCAAATCTAATAGCCATTTCTCAATCCTCATCTTTCTTGACCTCTCTGTAGTCTTTGACACTGTCAACCCACCCTCCTCTCCTAGATATTCTTTTCTCTCTAGGTTTTCAAAACACTGCTGTCTCTTGGTTCTCTTTCTACCAGTTTGACTGATCTTCAGTTCTTCTTGTTGGATCTTCATCCAGTTTGTACCCACTACCAGTGGGTATCCCCTAAAGCCTCCATTCTGGGAAACCTTCTCCCTCTATACTTTTTGATTGGTGATCTCATCAGTTGTCATAGACTCAATTATCATCTCTATGCCAATGATTCTCAAATCTCTTTATCCAGTTCTAGAAGCCTCTCTCAACTTCCAGTCTCGTATCTCCAACTGCCTTTCGGATATTTTGAACTAGATGCCCCACAGACATCTTAAACTCAGCTTGGCCAAAACTGAACTGATATCTTTCTTCCTCATCTTCCCCCAAACTCTCCCTTCTTCTAAACTCACCATCCTCCCAGTTACCAGTACCATGATTCCTCACTCTCTCATCTCCAATATCACATACTTTGCCAAATCTTGTCAATTCTAATTTCACAACATCTTTCACATATGTTCCTTTCTCTCCTCTAACACTGCCAATACCCTACTGCAGGCCCTCATCACATCACACCTAGACTACTGCAATAGCCTTCTGAACTCCCTGTCTCCAGTCTCTTCCCCACTCCAGTCAATCCTTCACTCACCTAAGTGATCTTCCTAAAGAGCAATTCTTTGTTATCTCCTCTTCAATGAAATTTAATAAAGTCACACCAATGGTTCCCTTTACCTCCAGGATCAAACAGAATAGGCCCTGTTTGTCTTTGAAAACCCTTCATAACCTGGCCCTTAACCACATTTCCAGTTTTATTATCCCTTATTCTCTTCCACATAGTCTATGGTCCAGTGACACTGGTTTCCTTGTTGTTCCTCAAACAAGACTCTCCCTCTCAGGGGGTGAAGCCAAGATGGCAGAGTAAAAGCAGTGACTTGCTTGAGCTCTCCCCCAAACCCTGTCTGATAGCTGTAAACAATGGCTCTAAACAAATTCTAGAGCAGCAGAACCCACAAAAAGACACAGTGAAACAAATTTCCAGCCCAAGACAACCTGGATGGTTGATAAGAAGGGTCTGTTGTGCTGGGATGGTAGAAGAGCACAGTTCAGTGTGGACCATGCAGGAAAAGATGGGCCCTCAGTGAACCTGGAGCAGGCCTCAGGGGACTGAATCACATGGCAGCTGTAGCAGTTTCCAGACTTCTCAACTCACAAATGAGAAAGACAACTTAGAAGGTCAGTAGGAAAGATCTGTTGGACCTCGATGACAGAGGAGAGTGGTCTGGCCCCAGTCCTGGCACAGGAGGCAGCTGCTTCTGAAACTGTTGACCCACAGATGGTGGGGAGATTGAGTGGCTGATCAGAGGGGGATTGCAGGGATCTCTTTGCTGGTGCTGAGGCAGGATTCTCTTGCTTTGCCCATGCTTGCATCTGAGTTTCAGCTCTGGATGGTCCTGGGGTGAAGAGGACCATTGGTGTGGTAGAACTTTTGGCGATGGTAAAGAGAGAATCCTCTTCACAGTTCCAAGTCAGGAAAGAGTGCTTGTGGTCACTTGTAGACTAGAGCACAGGCCAGGAAAAGACTAAACACCTCACCCTTGATCATTTAGGAAGAACTGAAAATGTATAGGTCCCTAGAAGTATCTCTGAAAACAGTTGCACAAAACCCCTGAAGCTTGGGACAGTGCATTCTCCAAACTGGAAGCAGACCCCTACCTTAACAAAGAGTTTAAAACTCAAGTAATTGGCTTGGAATATGAGCAGGCAGCAGAAAAAACCCTCAGTCCATAAAATCTTACTTTGGTGACAAAGAAGATCAAAACATGCAGTCAGAAGAAGACAACAAAGTCAAAGCTCCTACATCCAAAGCCTCCAAGAAAAAAATATGAATCAGTTCCAGGCCATGGAAGAGCTCAAAAAGGATTTTGAGAAGCAAGTAAGAGCAGTAGAGGAAAAATTGGGAAGAGAAATGAGAGTGATGGAAGAAAATCATGAAAAATAAGTCAACAGCTTGCTAAAGGGGACCTAAAAAAATACTGAAGAAAATAACACCTTCAAAATGGACTAACCCAAATGGCAAAAGAGGTCCAAAATACCAATGAGGAGAAGAATGCCTTAAAAAAAATTGGCTAAATGGAAAAGGAAGCCCAAAAATTCACTAAAGAAAATAATTCCTTAAAAAGTAGAATGAACAAATGGAAGCTAATGACTTTATGAGAAATCAAGACACTGTGGAACAAATCCAAAAGAATGAAAAAATAGAAGACAATGAATGGGAAATATCTCATTGGAAAAACAACTGACATGGAAAATAGATCCAGGAGAGATAATATTAAAATTATTGGATTACCTGAAAGCCATGATCAAAAAAAGGCCTAGACGTCATCTTTCAAGAAATTGTCAAGGAAAACTGCCCTGATATTCCAGAACCAGAGGGTAAAATAGAAATGGAAACAATCCACTGATCACCTCCTGAACGAGATCCCAAAAGGAAAACTCCTAGGAATATTATAGTCAAATTCCAGAGTTCCCAAGTCAAGGAGAAAATATTGCAAGCAGCCACAAAGAAATAATTCAAGTATTGTAGAAACACAATCAGGATAACAAGATTTAGCAGTTTCTACATTAAGGGATCAGATGGCTTGGAATATGATATTCCAGAGGTCTGAGGAACTAGGATTACAACCAAGAATCACCTACCCAGCAAAACTGAGTATAATACTTCAGGGGAAAAAAATTGACATTCAGTGAAATAGAGGACTTCAAGCATTCTTGATGAAAAGACTAGAGCTAAATAGAAAATTTGGTTTTCATATACAAGACTCATGAATAAGTAAACAGGAAAGAGAAATCATAAAGAACTTATTAAAGCTGAACTGTTTATATTCCTACATGGAAAGATGACATTTGTAACTCATAAGACCTTTCTCAGTATTAGGGTAATTGTAGGGAAACATATAGATAGTATATATATATATATATATATATAGATATATATATATAGATAGATATATATATATATATATATATATATATATAGACAGAGGACACAGAATGAATTGAAGATGAAGGGATGATATCTAAAAAAAAATTAAGGAGTGAGAGAGGATTATACTGGGAGAAAGAGAAAGAGAGAGGTAGAATGGGGTAAATTATCTCACATAAAACAGACAAGAAAAAGCTTTTACAGTGGAGGGGAAGTGGAAAGTGAGAGGAATGAGTGCATCTTAATCTCATCAGATTTGGCTTAAGGAGGGAATAACATACACACTCAATTGGATATAGAAATCTATTTTACCCTTCAGGAAAATAAGGTGGAAGGGGTAAGCAGAAGCAAACGCTTTTGAAGAGGGTCAGAGTCAAAGGAGAGAATAGAATAAATGGCAGGTAGAATAGGATGAATGGAAATACAGTTTCTCACAACATGACTACTACGGAAGTATTTTGCATGACTACACATGTATAATGTGTATTAAGTTGCTTGCCTTCTCAATGAGGGTGAGTGAGAAGGGAGGAAGAGGGAAAATTTGGAATCCAAAGTTTTAAAAACAAATGTTAAAAAATTGTTTTTACATGTAACTGGGAAATAAGATATATAGGCAAGAAATATCCTGCTACAATTGAAGGGGAAGGGGATAAGAGAAGGGGGAGATAGAAGGGGGACAGATTAGGGAAGGGATATTCAGAATGCACACTGTCTTGGGGTGGGGAAAGGATGATAGGGAGAAAATTTGGAACTCAAAATGTTGTGGAAGTGAATGTTGGAAACTAAAAATAAATAAATAAATATTAAGAAAAGACCCTCCCTCTCTCCACTCTAGGCATTTTTATTGGCTCTTTCTCCCTCTTCATCTCTGCCTCTTGGTTTCCCTGGGTGCCTTCAAGTCTTAAATAAAATCCCACCTTCTATAACAAGCCTTTCCCCTTAATGCTAGATTACACAGTTTGCATTGGATATTGCTTGTGCATAATTGTTTGTATGTTGTTTCTTCCATTAGTTGTGAGCTCCTTGAGGGCAAAGACTGGTTTTCTGTCTTTCTTTGTAATCCCAGTGCTTAACACAGGGCACATGACAATCTCTCTAAACTAACTTTAATAAAAACAATAATCACCATATGACTAAAAGCTTTTAATGGTTCTCTACTCACAGAATAAGTATATATTCATATTCATCTTTATTGTATGGTAATATATAATTATATAATGTATGATACATATAATTATATATGCATGTATACACACATACATACACATATTCTCTCTATATATATACATATACATGTGTATATATATATGTGTGTGTGCATATATACACACACACACATATATATATGAACTAAATATGATTGATTTCCTTTGTGTTTTATTTTATGCAGTTAAAAACACTATTTCGATTAAGGGTCCATAGACTTCAGATTGCCAAAAGGTCCATGACACAAAGGTTAAGAATGCATGTTCTAACCCTCTAATGGCATAGCCTTACCTTTCCCACTCCTCCCTAAATAGATAGTGCTATGTTCATTCTAACCTCCATGCTTTCATTCATGCTATATCTATTCTACCCTTTCTATTGAAATACTATCCATCCTTTAAAGCCCAGGTCAAAAGCTACCTCCTGCTTTCAGTTTTTCCCCTGTTATTTCATCTCAGTTACTGTTTGTGTAGCATTTAATTGTACTATTACTTTTTTATATAATCACATACTACCTTCTATTTCGTATGGTTATTCCATGATATTTATCATGTTTACATGTTAGCCATCTCTCTCCAATGAAAATATAAGCTCCTTAAGGGTAGGACCCAAATTTTCTAAACTTCTTTTGCATCCCCTGCCTCAGGATTAAGCACAGTAGGATATCAGAAACTTGACAAACATAGATGCTTGGGTGTATCATGCCAGGTGGCCAGCTACATTGAGAGATTCAAGAGGGAAAAGTTTCCTACTCCTTTCCTACTCTGTCATATCATTTCTAGAGGAAATGCTTCAAATGAGAAAAATTGCAGATCACTTCCAACAGCCTTACAAACTGTCATCTGTACAAGAATACCAATTTACATTGATAACCAGAAAAATAATCTGACTTGAATTCCTTTTCAAACACATGTTCTTCTTGTCAGGAGATCTGGCTTATAGAAATGCAGCAGCAAGCAGGCAAGCCTGTATTGATACAGTTTCCATACTAACTGTTATAGTAATATGTAAAGGCTTCTTTCTGCTGTTGGCTGTGAAAGTATTTTTCCCAATATAGTGCCAGCTCCGCTCTGATTGCTTCAATCATTTCCTTCAAGTTCTGAATCCTCAAATCCTTGAACCAATCTACTTCTAACTGTAGCTGCAAAGGGGAGAACTGTCCAAAAAGTGCTTCTCTTTTTTCTCGAGAACAGTCTTAACATTAGTTTTATGCCAAGCTTCTTCTGTTTAGTCAAGCCTCAGTTTAGAGTTTGATTTCCCCTAATCATCTACCAAGTTTTCAGGGCTCTAATTAACAGGCAAGAGTACTGGCAATAAAAGGTTAGTTCATAATTCAAGATATTCAATGACTTAAAAGTATGTTCTAAGATGGTTTCTAAGAATGAATCTATAAAAGAGGGTCATTGGGACAGCTAGGTGGCACAGTGGATAGAGCTCCGGCCTTGGAGTCAGAAGGACCTGAGTTCAAATCTGGCCTCAGACACTTGACACTTACTAGCTGTGTGACCCTGGGTAAGTCACTTAACTCCATTGCCTAGCCAAAAATAAATACATAAATAAAATAAAAATAAAAGAGAGTCATTAGTTTCGTAAGTTTTCCATAACTTTCAGAGCATAGTAACCAAAACCCAGAAGTCATAGAGACAGATATATGGTCTCCTTGCCAAAAGTGATGGAAAAACATAGTAAGTTCTGTTATAGAAGTTGACAGTCTATGGTATACACACCAAAGATAATGCATCCCATTCACCTGGCACAAAAAATGTCTCACAGGTCAGAGGTCGGACAGCAACCAGCAATCTTTTCTTTCTGCCATGTCTGGCACACGAATGAAAAGAATCAGAACCTTGAAATACCAAGACAGAAAGGTTGCCCGTGTCTTGCCTATTATATTTTCTTACCACTTTTCTGATCGTGGCCTTTGACCCAGTCATGAATGTGGCCAGAGCTTCTCTCTCCTGGGTAGATATTTGTAACCAGAGACAGAGTTCCCTGATTCGAGAGCATAGCCCTTCACACACACTTCATTCTCAGCTTTTTCCATTTCTAGCTGCAACAAAGAAAATGCATTCCTAATCAAAGGAAAGTACCTCCTTTTAAAGAGAAATAGCTGAAGATGTTGAAGCAACAAGGCAGAAGACAGGAGTGGGTGTCCAAAATATGATCAGCTGAAAACAGAGTGAATTAATGAAAAAAAGTTAAGGGCTTCCTATGCACCAGGCACTGGGTATCTAAATACAAGCAAGCATGACAGTCACTGCTCTCAAGGAGCTTATGTTCTGATGTGGGAAGGTAACACATAAAAGGGAGGTAGAAGGAGGAGAGAAATGCATGACTGGCAACATGGTTTAGAAATGGTTGGAAGTGCTATGATGGCCTGATAATTCCGTGACTCCAGGCAATATATGACAAAAGTTCACCTATTGGGGTAGCTAGGTGGCACAGTGGATAGAGCACTGATCTTGAAGTCAGGAGGACCTGAGTTAAAATATGGCCTCAAACACATAACACTCACTAGCTATGTGACTCTGGGCAAGTCATTTAACCCCAATTGCCTCAAAAAAAAAAAGTTAACCTATCAGGAGCCAGAATCCTAGGGACAGAAACTACATTCCACTGACAAGGGGTTGAGGCAACATGGCTTGGAAGTAGCTAGGAAGTGAAAATTGGCTAGGAGTTGGGTTCCTGTTTAAGGCCTTTCAGACAATAGTTCAGTGTTGCTTCTGTTTGTTTTAGGGCTTTACAGAAATATTAACTAGAATCCAAGGCAGCTGAGCAAGCTGGTGAAAAAGACTGGAAGCTTACTATAAATAAAGTTCTATCAGGAGCCCACAGGTGGTGAATGGGTGGGAGCAAACAACTATTCACCATGAGTTAGTTACAAGAACAAAACTTACCACAAGTTTGAAGAACATGGGGAATTATGGGAGGCCGAGTCCTTATGGAAAATCTCTAAGTCCTTATAGACTTTAGGGGTCAGTACTATAGAGGCTTGCCTCAGGATAAATGCTCCCATGACTCTTGCCCTAGCTCCATTTGTTAGTACAGGACAGCTAGGTGGCTCATGGATAGAACACTGGGTTGAGAATCAGGAAGACTCATCTTCCTGAATTCAAATCTGACCTCAGACACTTACTAGTTGTCTGACTCCCAGCAAGTCATTTAACCCAGTTTGTCTCAGTTCCTCATCTATAAAAATGAGCTGGAGAAGGAATGGCAAACCGCTCTAGTATTTTTGCTCAGAAAGCCCCAGAATAGAGTCATGAAGAGTTGAACATGACAGAAATGACTGAACAACAGCAACAACACAATAATTAATGATTTGAAGCATTTTTTTCATGTGGTTATATAGACCATTTGTCATCTTTCTAATTTTAACTGCATTTTGTTACAATTTTATGGAATCGAAACTGTCCATTTCCATGGACCTTCTATGCTCCTCTGTATCTCTTGTCTGGTCTTGAACTTTCCACCTAGAGTTGTGAAAGGTGTTTTCTTCATTTCTCCTCTAATTGGTTTATGATGGGACCTTGTATATCTAGGTCTATCTATCAGGAGCTTGTTAAAGTACATGGTGTGAGATCTTGGTCTAAACCTGTTTTTTTCTGCTGGACTATTTTCTATTTTTCTCAGTAGTTTTTATCAAATAGTGAGACCTCATCCCAATAGTTGGGGTCTTTGATTGAATATCCCTCTTTTATCCTCTACCCAGAGAACCATTTCCTATAACAACAAAATCAAAATGAAAAGGGAAAAATAGTATATCTATAAAATTAATGAGAAAATGTATGGTAGTGAACATGCTGAACTTGAAGTGAGAGGACTGAAATCCTAACTCTGCTACTTACTGCCTGTGTGACTAGGTAAGGGCCTTCCCTAGTGTCTCATCTGCAAAATAAAGGGCTTGAACTAGATGGCCTTTTACCTCTAGATCTATGAATGCTATGATCCCATCAACAGTCAGACAGGATATGTAATGCTCCATATCCATAGTCTCACACCTCTGCAAAGGTAGGGAAGTGTACTTTCTCATCTCTTTGAGAATGAGCTTCATACAATACTTACATAGCATTCAGTATTGTTTTTGTTCTTCCCACTTACATGATTGTAGACATTCTGTATGGTTTTCCTGGTTCTGCTTATTTCGCTCTGCATCAACAGTTCGTGTAAGTCTTCCCACGATTCTTTCAATTCTTCTTATTAAATTCTTCATATTCATCATGTCTTACAATGTAGTAACATTCCATTATGTTTTTGTACCACAATTTGTTTAGACATTCCCCAAATAATGGCCATTTTATTTCTACTTCTTTTCTACCACAGAAACTTCTGCCAACATGGCTAATGTGAAAATATGTTTCACATGACTTTACATGTATAATTGATACCATATTACTTGCTTTCTCAATGGGTGGGGGAAGGAATTTAGAAATCAAAACTTTTTTAATGTTAAAAATAAAATTTTTAAAATTTAAAATGAAAAAAAGTTCTACTCTGTATAAATTGGTAGATATGGAGATTTTTTAAAAAATCATTGAGTTCCTTGGAGCATATGCCTAATAGCAGGATCTCTGGATTAAAGGGTATGAGCATTTTAGTCCCTTTTTTCTCCAAATTGTTTTTCTTTTCTTTTCTTTTTTTTTTTAGGCAATTGGGGTTAAGTGACTTGCCCAGGATCACACAGCTAGTAAGTGTCAAGTATTTGGTCTGAGGCCAGATTTGAACTCAGGTCTCCTGACTTCAGGGCTGGTGTTCTATCCATTGTGCCACCTAGCTGCCCCCAAAATTGTTTTTCAAAATGATTAGACCAACTTTATTGTGCTTCTCCAACAGTGACTATTCCCATATTTTGTCACCTCTGCCAATCACTGGGTTTTCACAGAGTTTTTGTGAACAAACCAGTTTGCAAACCTTAAAGAACTCTAGCAATGGAAATCATTATTGTTACTATCTTGGTTATAAGCTTGCCACTTTTCTATAAGGCAAGAAAAGAAAAAAAAAAGTATAGATTTCTAAAGTTAACATGAAACTACTGGGCCGTACCTAGTAAACCCGCATCCAGAAATGAAGCAAACATTGTCGAGGTTCTAGCCACAGCTCCTTTCCAAAGTTCTACACTCAAGTTACTAATATCTTGAATTTACAGCAGTATACCTGTAAAAGCAGATTCTTTAGGGCTGTTATGTTCTCCAGTGACAGACAGAAAGTCTTGTCATCCTTATATACCACATCTCTCTCAAAATATGTTTCTGGAGTGTGATCCAGATCTTCCATACAGAGTAGGATCTGCTTCTTTGTGCTAACAAATTCTTCCCATCACCTTTGCCTATAAAAGCAAAGAAGTTATACGGCACCTCAGAAGTGAGTGAAACACACAGACAGGAAGAATGTCAAGAAGCAATTATACCTTTGTTTCCTCCAGAGCTGCCAGGTGATTTCTGAACTGGTTCAGCTCCTCTATGCTGAGTACCGAGTCATTGTCAAGGCTGTATGGGAGCACACAAAGAATCTCACACAATTTTTGGTCTTGTTCTTGAAGTAGTTTCTGTTCTTGTATCCTTTCTTCTTTCTGTCTTTTCAATTCTTCTATCTGTGTTTGAAGATCGTTCTTTAGCTCCAAGATGGTAGTCTCCTTTCTTTCCTGTGCCAAATATCAGTGAATCAGAGTAAAAACACTAAAAACAACCTTGCCAGAAGTAAAGGAAGGACAAGTGAGGGAAATTCTCAATTCGACTTATTTGTGAGTTATCCTATAGCAACAAGGTTTTTTTCTGAGTTTTTTAGAGAGTTTCAGAAGTTTTTCAGAGAGATTCCCACAGAAGAAATAAAAAATGTGGATATATTAGAGCATCGTAGACTGTTTTTAATGAAACTAGAAAGAAGCTTGGTTTTGGTTAGTTCTAGGATGGGTCATTTAGCTTTATGTGTTCTTCTTTAGGTGTGAGAGCAACTTAAAACCTCTGCTTTTGCTGGCTTAGTCTGATTCATCCACAAGCTATTTATAGCTTTGTCACATCCCTTTCTTCTGCCTTGTTATTCCTCTCTACTTTCCTCCTTTTTTAAAATACAGTGCCACCCACTCTCCAGTTTGCATCTATGTCAGGAAGATTCCAGTTGATTGGCACATCCCTACCTGTGATATCAGAAGTATAAAGTGATCAATAAATCAAGAATCATATAATAAAAACTTACTATGTGCCAGACATTATGCTGAGGATACAAAGAAAAAGCAAAAACAGATTCTGCTCTCAAGAAGCTTACATTCAAATGGGAGAGACAACATGTATATATAGAGAGAGCAAGAGAAATACCAAGTACATTGAAAATCTTAGAGAGGAAGGCTTGAACAGCTGGGTGGGGGGGAGGTGGGGTGGAATCAGGAAGGGGGAGTCAGGAAAAGTCTCCTGCAGAAAGAAGGTAGCTGTGGTCGGAATAGTAAGCTAACCTCTGCTTCCACGCATTAGGCTAGTTTTTTTCCTCAGATGGTAGTGTAAACATTTGTGATAATTGCTTGGCTTAGGGGACTAAAGAGTTGTCACTTCCCAGGTACCTAAGTACAAAGTATACAGGATCAGCTCCAGAAGCTATCTGAGCAAGTTTCTCCCAGATGAACCAAATCTGAGATGACCTAAATGCCTAACCTTGTGGAACACACCCTTCTCCTGCTATGCTAAACAATTTTCCCTTGGCTACCTGTAGAATGATGTACAAGTGTTTCATTTTGTTCTAATACTGAACCTAAAATTATCAGGGGTCTGGCCTTGGGCAGGCCAAGCCAAGAATAAATGGCATAGTCATTCAGGATTGGAACATAAGGAGATTATTGAAATAAGGGGATGAGCATTAAATGCAGAGGGAGGTGAACTCACACTAGCAAGATTTCTGGTGATGCTTTTGGTGACAATAATAATAGCTAACATTGGGGCAGTGGTGATAGCCTCCGCCTGAAGTCAGGAGGACTAAATTCAAATCCGGTCTCAGACACACAACACATACTAGCTGCGTGACCCTGGGCAAGTCACTTAACCCCAATTGCCTAGCAAAAAGCAAAAAAAAAATTAAAAATTATAATAGCTAACATTTATATAACATTTCAAGGTTTGCAAAATACTTTACAAATGTATCATTTTACCCTCACAACAACCCTGGCACATATGTGCTATTATTATCATCCTCATTTTATAGATGAGGAAACTGAGGCAGAAATAAGTCACTTGCCCAGGGTAACACAGCTAGGATTTGGGGCAGGATTTGAATTCACATCTTCACATGTGCTTTATCCATTGCACAAATTAGCTGCATCTCTAGATTCTTCTAGAGACTGTAGTTGCTTACTGTAAGGTACCTTTCCCTTCTGGGATATCAGAGAATAAACTGGCTGTGCTATTCAGCAAGGAAAGACCAATGTGAGTATACTCCAAACCTCTAACTGGTACCTGAAGATAAGTACCTTAAAACATCTCTTAGGCCCTCCAGCTGTGTTGCCCCTGTGCTCTATGAGCAAAGCAGATTTGCAGTAGCTTGAAAGATACATGAGATGTGAACATTTAGAGCAATCTCCACCCCAAATGTTAATATGGAGTATTTGTGCCCAACCTGTGATAGAGCCTTCTGAGCTCACATTGGGCTGAGCAGTCACAGTTGGACACACTCTGCTTTAACCCCAACATAGTGGTGTCATTTTGGTCCCCTTCAAACATGAAGGACAACAACCAACCAACCTAGGCCTTAGTTCTATGAGGGGATCTCCTCAGAACTCAGTTTACCTTTGAAGAAGCCTAGAGGGATTAAATTTGGGGAACTGAAAGAGATCTCCCTCCACTTAAAAACAAGAACAAAATCAGAAGAATGTGTTGTGTTCTACCTTTACCGAGATGAATATTTTGTATCCCCAAGGCTCACCAGTTGCCTCATCAAAGACCTACTGAAAGAATGCCCCTTCCAACTTTAAGGGAGTCAAATCTGTGTATGAATAGGGAAGAATAGGGGAAGAATGGCTTTTGGGAAAAGACTGAATAGCAGAATATCAATATCCAGTCCTTTAAGTAGATAAGGACAAAATCAGCAAAGTGAGGAGCAACATGAAGGTCTCCAAAAAAAAGAAAATGCAAATCAAGACACAGACCTGGAATTCTAAGACTGTTAACATTTAAATGTGCTGGAGAAACTGTATTGGTTTGTTTAATTTGGCCTTTGAGTGGCCTTCAATTAATCTCCCTTCAGTTAATCTATATTATCTGACAAATTGTGATTACACTATGGCAATAGAGAACTCCATTTGAATCTGAACCAGCTAGATAATAATATTTGAATCTGAATGACCTCAATAACTGGCCTGACACTCTCTCCATTTTATGTATGTTGATATAGTCTGAGAGTGAACTAAAGACTTTCTTGGTCTTTCAATTTGGATATCGTCATTAATATTGGGATGTAAAAAGTGGAATATAACTTAAAAAGAGAAGTCAGTGGAGAAGAAAGAAATGCATTTTGGAGAACAATTTGGAACTATGTCCAAAGGGCTGTAAAAATGTGCATACCCTTTGACCAAGCAATAGCAGTTCTAGGGCTATATCCCAAAGAGACCATGCAAATGGGAAAAGGACCCACATGTACAAAAATATACATTAGAAGATCTTTTTGTGGTGGTCAAGAATTAGAAACTTAGAGGATGCCCATCAATTGGGGAATGGCTGAAGAAGTTGTGGTATAGGAATGTAATGGAATACTATTGTGCTGTAAGAAATGATGAACAGGCAGACTTCAGAAAAACTTGCAAAGACTTATGGTCTGATACTGAGTGAAGTGAGCAGAACCAGGAGAATGTTGTACATAATAACAGCCACGTTTTGCGATGACTAATATTGATAAACTTAACCCTTCCCAGCAGTACAAGGATCTAAGACATCTCCAAAGGCCTCATGATGGAAAATGCTACCCACATCGAAAGAAAGAACTGTGGAGTTTGAATGCAGATTGAAGCATACCATTTGCTATTTTTTTTCTTCTGTTGTGTTTTGTTTCCTTTTCCTGGTGGTTCTTCCTAGTGGTTCTAATTCTTCCAACATCACTAATGTGTTAAAATATGTTTAATAGGAATCTATATGCATAGCCTATATCAGATTGCACATTGCCTTGGTGAGGGAGGGGGAGAAAAATTTAAAACTCAAAAGCTTATTGAAGTGATTGTTGATAAATCAAAATAAATGAAAAAGGGAAAAATGTTAAAAATTGTTTTAACATGTAATTGGGGGAAAAATAAAATAAAATTTTAAAAAATGCCTGGGTGTCTAGAGAGTATAGAGACAAAACAGATGGTAAAGCCTAGGCATGGCCATCTAACTATAAGGATTGGAGTTCATTATTTCTTGTTCACTGAAGTGGTGTGAAATCTGCCCCACAGCTGGGGTGGGGATGGGGATAAAAGAACTCAGGTTCATAATCCTTGTGAAGAGTAGGCCCAAAGGTCAGGACTGGGTTGGTGTGGTGACTGAGGAAGGAGGGGAACTGATCAGAAAGGAGGAGAAAAGGGGAAGGAGTACTGACAGAATGCCTGGAGGGAAGGGGAGATCCAACTGGGATACCTACAGAGTATTGCCTGGAGCAAGGGAAAGATTCTGAGGACCTACTCTATTCTACCCTAAAGAACCAAGAGGGAACACAGCCTTGTAATGTACAAAATTTTTATTACTAATCTTGAGGAAAATATAGGAGGCATGCTTGTCAAAATTGCAGATGTCGTGAAGGAAAGGAAAGCAAATACACTGGATGATAAAATCGGAATTCAAAAGGAGCTTAATATATATAGGATGATGTTGAAAACAATAACTACAATGTTTTTCACTTAGATTTTAAAAATTACCTTTGCAAGTCCAGGATAAAAATGAGACATGGAAAGATAATGGGACAGGAAGGTGGATGGCTCAGTGGATAGAGCATTGGGCCTGGAGTCAGAAAGATCTGAGCTCAAATCCAGTCTCAGACATTTATTAGATGTGACCCTGGGCAAGTCACTTAATCTCTGTTTGCTTTAAACCACTGGAGAAAGAAATGGCAAACCGCTCCACTATCTTCCCCAAGAAAACCCCATGGACGGTATGATCCATGGAGTCATGAAGAATTGGACACAACTGAACAACAACAACAACAACAAATTCAAGTGACCAACAGGAATTGTTTCTTGTGGACTTTGTGAGTCTTTGGTGCAAGCCATTGGGAGAAGCACTTGAAAGAACACCCGGAAGAAACCAGCTGTACTCCTGTCAACTCATGAGGGCAGGTGGGGGAGTTGTAGTAGTTTAAAAAAGTTCTCTCTGTCTCTCTCTCCCCCTCCCTTCTTTTCTCCCCTCCCTCCTTCTCTTTTCCTCCCCCTCCCTCTCCCTTCCAGTAAGGAGCCCCATGGCACAAGATTGGGTAGTGGCGTGTGCAGCAGAAACAGGCCCCCTGGGGCCCACTGTTTAATGGAATATAAAACTGACTTCATTCCTTCAGTACAATACCTAAAGAGCATTCTACAACTCTTCCCCAAGGAGGGCTTAAAGGACCAAAGGTGGCTGTTGTTGGGAGGGGGTTTTCTTTCTGCCAAAAAAGGGGAAGTGAAAATATCAAAGCAGCCCCTGCAAAAGAAGAGGGGCCATTTTT